ATAAATTACGTCAGATTTTTGCTATCAAAATTTCATCAGATATGAAAAAAATCTGATATAATTAATATATCTATTAATCACATTAAATTTTTACTTGATATTTGGCTAATATATATCAATTACATAAATTATATCAAATTTTTGCTATCAGAATTTTACTAAATATGAAAAAAATCTGACGTAATTGATAAATATATCAATCATATCAGATTTTTATCTAATATTTGACTAATATATATCAATTACATCAGATTTTTTTTATATCTGGTATAAAGATGGCATGGCAACTGTTGCAACATGATAACAAATAAAGCATCACCTAGTTGCAACTAGTTGCAGCTTATAAAATTTTGAAATTGCAACATGTTGCAACGGGTGACAAATAAGTGTCACATACTTGCTGCGCTATCTCTAATCTGGTAAAATTTTGATAGTAAAAATCTGATATAATTTATATGATTAATATATATCAGCCAAATATCAGGTAAAAATTCAACATAGTTAATAGATATATTAATTATATCAGATTTTTTTTATATTTGGTAAAATTTGATAGCAAAAATCTAATATGATTTATATAATTGATATATATCAGTCAAATATCAAATAAAAATCTAACATAATTAATAAATATATTAATCACATCTAGAGATGGCGCAGCAAGTATGTGACGCTTATTTGTTACCCGTTGCAACTCCAAAATTTTATAAGCCACAACTAGTTGCAACTAGGTGATGCTTTATTTGTCACCACGTTGCAACAGTTGCCACGCCATCTTTAATCACATCAGATTTTTTTCATACTTGATAAATTTTAATAGTAAAATCTGATATAGTTTACATAATTGATATATATCAATCAAATATCAAGTAAAAATCTGATATGATTAATATATTTATTAACTACATCAGATTTTTTTCATATCTGGTAAAATTCTAATAGCAAAAATCTAATATGATTTATGTGATTAATATATATCAGTCAAATATCAGATAAAAATTCAACATAATTAATATATCTATCAATCACATCAGATCTTTGCTATCAGAATATGAAAAAAATCTGACATGATTAATCTTTTAGACACATATAAATTGCTATAAAAACAATCTTTACTCTCTTTCTTTTTTTTTAGAAAAGAAGCTTTTCTCAAATCAATCAAAAACCAACCAAAAACCAATTACAAACCAATCACAAACCAATTACTCAATCATTCAAATTAACCACTCAAATCATTTAACCACTTAACCACTCAAATTAATTACTCAAATCACTTTAATTCTAAAATATCAATCTGTAACTTACCTTTTGACATTCATAATTTGACTGTTCAATAATGCACAACTCTATTTTTGCAACTTCTAAATAATACTATTATGCTTAACATCTTCTTATCAGAACAAAAATATCAAATGTACAAACATCTCAATTTTTCAGATTTGAACTTAACGCAAACTACTTTATTTGTTGATATCATAAATAAATATATAAGACTTTTATATATTTTCCGTTAATTTAAAAGATTATTAAACTTTTACTTTAGTATCTGAAAGATTCAAGTTTAAATCTGTACAAGAAAAAAATTTCATCAAAGTGAAAGAAGAGAATAAAAATATAACATGGTCAAAATTCTTAAACATGGATAAATAACAATTTGGAACTCACTGGTATCACAATCAGACTTCTGGTAGATGTTATTGTGATATGGATATTCAACCAATATTTGATGACAGTAATTTTATGATTACTCGATCTCTTTGTAATGAGTATACTTCAGGATTATTACATAGTGCATTTTTTTTATCTCATGGATAGGCTCTCACTATTATTAATAGATGTTATATCTACTTAGTATGGGACAGTCCTATAGCAATACAGTACTGATATTCTATAACAACTTTAATAATTATTCAATAGTATGCAATAAATACAAGTATTTTAATAAGTTATTATTCAGTTAATTAATGTACAAATTTCATTAACAATAAACAAGGACAGTTTATTAACTAGGTAAATTTTTGTATTGATTAATTGATATCTTTTTCAAAGCTTTAATTGCAATAAATATTTTCCACTAATAAATATTACATTTATAATTAATTATATAAGTTGATAAATAATAGATATTATATAAATTATGATAATTATGATAATTGTTATAAATGATGGTAATTACATTAATTGTAATAATTATTAAACTTATAAAAGTTATGGAACTTATGTAAATTATGTAAATTATATAAATTATAAAAATTATAGAAATTATAGAAATTTTCAGTCGTAACAGTGTCTTCTTCTATTTTAATAAAAAAGATTGTTTTAATATTGAATTATATATTATATTTGTTCTAATTATAATAATGAATTATTTTTTAAAATAAATATCAATCATATTATTCTATATTAAATTATATAAATACAATATTTTAATATATTCTTCAAAAAAAAGCATATCTAAAGTCTAATCCATCTGATAATTAGTTTAAAATATAAATAAATAAAAATATATAAATCTTTGATCAACTTAGCAAAAGAAATCTGAAATATTGTCACAATTTGATTTTTAGGACTTTTTTTAATATTATTAATTATAACTTTAATAAATTATTTGTTTGTATTTTTAATTATTAATTTTGATCCAATTACTTTAGAATAAATACGCAATATGTTTTCTTTTATTTTAATAAATAAAATAGGATATTACAACTATTAATAAATATCTTTTTTGTATTTACTTAATGTATGAACAGTCCTATAATAATACAATATTAATATTTTATAGTAATTTAATTGAATGTTCAGTAATATATAATGAATGTTATTATAATAATATATTATTTAATTAAATTTTGTATGTTATAATAAAGATGATCAAGTAATAGATATTTTATTAAAGATATTTTATTTAAGTTATTAGTTGGACTAATTGCTACAACTTTATTATATTGAATTTAATTGATTACAACTTGCTTTTTTATAGTTACAAGATTAATTATATTTATTTCTAATATTTTTATAATTAAGTTATTATAATATAAAATATATTATATATATTAAATAAATATAATATAATAGATAATGTTAACATGTCTAAGAATTTTGTTATCTCTACTATTTTTATAATTTATGTTTATGCAAATTATACAGATCATGCAAATCATGCAAATTATAAAAATTATAAAAATTATAAAATTAATTAAAAAAATAATAATAAATAATAAATCACATGTAAAATCATATGTACAAGTCACATATAAAACTCACATGTCAAAATTACATGTTACACATAAAAATTACATAATTTTTAATTTGTTCAATAAAAATATAAATAATTAAATAATTAAATAATAATTAATTAATTTAATTAATTTAATTAAATTATTAAAAATAATAAAAATGATTAATTATTATTAAAATAACTATGTTATAGAATATTTGGATCATAACAACATGAACAAAAATAATGAAAAATAGATGTTTAAATTTATTTTGATATACTAATAAAAAATGTTGAGGAGATAATTTTATATATAATCTTGATCACACAACTCTAACTCTAATTCTAAGCTTAAGATTATTTTTTAATTATATAGTTATGTATTAAGTGATGGACCAGACTTTAGACATTCTCCAAATAAGTAAATTCCTTTTTCAGTATTGTCAACAAAATTTCACACTTATATAATTACAAAAATTAAAATTATTTTATCATTTGGATTAGAATAAGAGTTAGATTGAAAAACAAGCTTATATATAAAATTGTCTGATATTTTTTATTAGTGCTTCTAGCCAGATTTTAACATCTGTTTTCTGTATTTTTAATATTTTCTTTTTATTTTCTTGTGTCGAATTTGTTTTGCTGGGTTAATCAAAAAATTGCGCATCCTTATTGGTTTGTTAGCGATGCTGGGGAAGTTCACTGGCTCGGAAAAAAATCACGTGATTATCACTATCCTGAAGCACTTTTATTAGTCGATTACAAAAAACGTGACATATGATCGTCACCAGAATCATAGTATTCCTATGATTATGTAGACACTATAAAATTCTCTATACAAAATACCTACGGGTACTATTCAAGTTATAAACTACAGTTTTTGAATAAGACTCTGGATATTATATACAGTACTAAACGGTATGACTTCCGGCACCATAGAAATAGAATATAAATATAGTACGTTGCGAATTATAATAAAGCTTCGAGTTTAAAACAATTAATTTATTTCGTAATTAGCAAGTGTAAAATATAAAAAAAAACGTGTCTCCCTCCCCCCACAGGAAAAAATATATCGTCGGTAGGACCGATCATCAGGGGTCAGATTTATATGATTTTTTAGAAGTAGTCGGATTGGGCGAAATTTGTGGATGATAGAGAATGGGTGGTAAAATGTGGGATAAAGAATAGGGATATGGCAGAAATAGAAGCAGAAGCGAGAAGTGTTGATAGTACATCTCATTAATTATAAAACAAGATGCAGGATCCGAGTCTTGTTAATAATTTTCTGACTTCCCGTACCTCTTCCTAAATTGCCATCTTCGATAAATCTTAAACACTATTTGTGGTGCTGCTTGATTCTGTCGTCTCAAGTTCGATAATTATGTTGGAAAATAAAAGCTCTTTATTTTGTCTTGCCAAATTCTCGGAACCAATTGAGATTTGTATGATCAAATCCCGTTTCTTACGGAGCTGTTCGTTTTTCTCTTGTGGATACGCTTCCGGACCAATCAAGCAGCTATGTCGTGAGTTGGAGGACGTCGAACTAGCCAGGTAGTAGATAAAGCAATTCTCCTTACCATTGTATTGTTTGTAGATTTGCTCGCATTGTGAAGAATGTTATGACTTGAGGGTTAGCAGATCAGTTTGTCCGACTTTCACACATACATTTCGACACGCCGGTATATTCTTCCACAAGTATTGAGGCCTCAGCATGGACAGACCTCCGGGTACGCAAACATTCAAGATCAGCGAATCATATTACTTCGGAATAAAACAAGGTCTCCTATTTGATGGTAGGTTTCTTTGGCAGATTTGGAACTGAGAGATTAAAGCTGCAAGGAATATTAGAAATATGTTCAAGTATAGACGCAGACCAAAAATTTTTACTCGAAATTGATGATTATATTAGTTACTCACCGGACCATAGCGGTGAACTCTCGAAATTCCAAAAGGTAGGTAACCTGAGAGAGTAAAGATGGTAATCCTGTAACGCCAATATTCTAGGGTCAAAGTTGGTGTCTGAAGTTTGAATAATGTGGAGTAACATTGGCGCAACAATGTGCGCCATATGTTTGGTGTTTATGTTACACGTACTATCTTTTTCATTTATCAAATGACTATGATTGAATGATCGCTTGATATTTGATCTCTTGCAGCAGCAAATTCAAATAATTCGTTATATGCTTTATTTGGAATGAATTCCACATATTTCCATAAATATAAATACGAGACATCTATTACTTATGACTTGATACCACTTCTTTTTTCGTCTTATTAAATATTAAATATTGTGGTTTTTTCATATGTCAAACACTATTCAATTTATAATTCTCTCTTATCATTTTATGTTTGTTCGGCTTCCTCAATCATACTTGAATTAAATCAAAAAAATCTGAAATATATCATTCCCTGAAAAAATAATCAAAAACCTATATAATACCTATATACTCTGTTCTTTCTAGTTCAGGATTCGGTGTACCTCTAGCGTAGTTTATCATCAGCAACTGGCAAAACATGTCCATGACTAAATTCCACGCAGACATTAGAGCGATGTCAATTGCCATAAAACTAAGAAACCGAGCACGGTTACGACTCGACAGCAGTGGTATTTATACCACGTCACTAACGGCCAAGGATCCAAAAATAGATACGGAAATAAACTCTCCTTCGTCGATTTTATCGTTCTCCTCATCGTCCTCTTCTGCTTGCTCAACTTTAGTATCAACACCAACATCACCACCACCAATAATACCATTCAACGACAAATATGTCACCCTCGCCAGTCATCGCCACCACAATTCTAAAAGAGAACGATCATACGTCACGGATCCCACGTTTCGGTGGAATCTTCAGAAACCGGTCCCGCAACTGATTTTGTTCTGGGAGACGGTTTCGTTGGTGGGTTCTGCGATCGCGCGTAGATGTGCTGGGTGGCCTTGAATCTTTCAAGAATGTAGTTTATTTAATATCCACAAACAATATTTCACTCAATCAACTTTTGAATCTTTTTTTGAATCAATCATCTTCTCTACTATTATAATATATAAATATTAATAAATGAATAGAGCTTTATTAACTTAATTTACTTTCGAAAATAGAAAATACATTACATCATAGCGTTAGAAATAAAATGTACCAATTCCCATGTTACGATTTGATGATCACTAAATAAATAAATGCTGCAGTTACTCGCTTTGTCTTTCTGTATTCAAAAATGGCATCCATTTTCACAACTAACCCTAATACAAGTCTCAGATTTGTCCGAACCGAGTCTGTGTCCCGTAAGTAATGTTTGAGAGTAGAAAACAATTGATGGCTACTATTCACTCAAAATATCAACCAAAATCCCAAAGAAACCCCACCAGTCGGCCCGGAAAACATTTCCCAACTAAAAGCAAAGCTAGACCCTCTATTCGCAGCACACAAAGAATTGTCAGATCGAGTCGACAACCTTTTGAAGAAGAATAACGAGAAATTACCGAGCGATAGTGATGACAATGTTTTGCATCTCGCTGGTAATTTAATTCTTTTCTTATCGGAACGTTCAATTCGATTATTAATCGACAAATTCCTTCGGGATTTAATTCATAATATTAGTTCAAGAATCGACCGAGACCCTAAAAGGAGTCATTTGGAGCTTAAATAGTACCAAAAAGTTTGTTGAGAATGCAGAATCGAATCTGGAATTATTCCACAATAGGTCTGTTTTAATCATTCATTATTATGTATTTATGATAGTCCAAACTGATCTCATTAACTTTTATGCAAATAAAGACTCCCGCTCACAAAATCAGAAATCGCGCGTGAATACTACCATGTACGTCTCGACCAATACTCGTACTACTGCGACAATCTGTTCCCAGTGAATTTCGAATCGAATCAAAGTTCTCTGGAACGTGTAAGGCAGGGTCTTAATAAGATTGAACGGGCGATTGCGATAAAGAGTGGTCAAATGAATGTAGAAATTGGGGTGGAGGAAAAAGAGAAGGAAAAAGAGAAGGAAAAAGAGAAGGAAGAAGCAAGGGCGGTTGTGTCTTTGGATGCACATCAATTAGAACAAACAAAGCAGCAACAACAACAGCAGCAGTCTGAAGTTGTCATGGCGAATACGCAAGAACAACAACAAGAAACAGCAGCACCATCACAAATTGTACAGAATATCGAAGGACAACGAAAATTGAAAGATGTTCTTGGCGTTGCGCAAGAACAAGGAGAAAAACCAAAGGAAGCAGAGGCAAGTCAAAAACAGATAGAAAAAGAAACATCAAATATACAAACGCAGGGTCAAATTCCATCAGCACCCACACCTACGAATATTGCAACACAACAACAAATCAAACCACAGACACCACCAAGAAATACACGAGCTACTATTCAACAACAAAAAACATCAACAACTCAAAATTCGCCACAAAATCAACAAACAACACCACCACCAAGACATACTGCATCAATTACCGGTAATAAAGTATCGCCACCAGCAAATTTTTCTCAAATGTCTCCAGCTCAACAAGCTGCATTCCTGAGACGCAGCCTGAATGCTAAAGGAAAATCAACAGTTGCAGCTGTTACAGCAAAAACTACCCCCGTGAATGCTCAAACACCAAGTGGTCAACAACAAAAAACCCCTGTGACAAAACGCACACCAACCTCTGCAACAGGAAAAATACCAAATTTCCCTACGCCATCTGGTCAACAAGCCACCGCCACACCTGTTAGAACTACTACCAACACAGGCAAATCTCCAAAGACACTTGGTAAACCAGCCACTCTTGTGACTCCAGTCATTGCAGAGACTTCACAACAATCAAGTTCGTCAATCAATACAGCAATCTCTACACAAGAACCGCCCATTATCGTTATTCTTTCTCCTGATTCACCACAAGTTCAGCAACAACCACCTACGCTCCCACAAATGACGCTTTTAATAGAAGAAATACCAGAAAATGCACCTAAAATTGAACATATGCAAATAGATCAGCCTGAAATTATAGAAGCAGCTTCTCCCGCACCTACAACTGAACCTCAAACTAATCCCGATCTAATGGATGTGGATGAATCAAAAACTACTAAAGACAATAATGATAATAATGAGCTAATTATAGAAATACTGGAAACTTCGGAATTCCCTTCGTCTTCAGCAATTAACCAACAGCCGGAACTTATTATTGAACAACCTCCGTCTGAAAATGTGACTGGTGAACAAAATCAATAAATATGACGATTGACAAGGATTATTGATATGATATATATTTACATATATATCATTATTTAAAGAGATCCAAAAGAAAATATTTTGTATTTACATAATTAAAAATTTTAATGCAAATATCATTATTTGAAAAAATTGCCTTTTTATTAATTGTGTCATATAGAACACAAAATCTTCCACAGCTATTACTATTAAAATAACGCCAATCAAATATACCTCATCCTCTCTAACGACTACTAAGTTATTGAAATTTTCCTTGCAATCAGTGCATTCGAGTCTCTGAATTCAACGATCGATTTGTCTTGATTGTAATTCCAGTAACCAGAAGTTACCAAGTCCAGGGGTCCATTGACGCAGTATTGAACTATGTCCAGTGCAACTCATTTTTCAAGTCAGTATGCACTGCGAGCACGGGGATAGTTGAAAACTTTTAATTGACGAGTCGTATATTAAGGTGCACACCATTCCTATGACTCAACGAATGATGAACATTTTTCGATGCCAGTTATCAAACTTTCATTTGAGGTACTACGGATGTCGTTGCTACTACAATTGCTGTTAGAGACTTTCATCGAAAGGTGGACCAAGAGTAGTGATCGCGGCCAAAAAGGACAAGCTGACCAATATCTTAAAAAATTACCTTGTTCAAAGTATCAATATCACAATACTATACGATGTTCAATAAACTTGAGACATTCATCACCAGGCATATTGTTCATTCGACCCTAAAATTTTTCCACACATCGGAAGATCTTGTATTGTGCTTGTTATGCCTTCGCTGGACAGAGTAAGAGTAATAGATTGACCGAACTCAAAATAATCTTGATATTATTCCTGTCATCCAGCAACATCAGGAGCCCAGAATACCAATTTACAACTAGGAGTTGGACAATTGCTTGAGGCTCATGTTCATCTAGAATTTTCTTTTTTATTGTCTCAATTCCTGGTTTCGATACCTTGTCCAAATAAAGCATAAATTCACGTGCGAAAAACGACATGGCTGTCGAGAGTGGGAAAAGTTCATTGAGAAAAATAGATACCCGCCACATCTATTTCCTTCTTCTGTCTCCAAAAAATGAAAAGTTGCGAGAGAAAAAAATATCTTTTAAGGCCTATTTAAGTTATTCAAGTTTAAAGATGCATTTAGAATATGAAATGAAAAGTTCACACGCGTCAATGTGACGTAAACATTTTGGCCATTTTTTGTTTTAATATTATTGTGCATTGTAATATAATGATGGAAAGTATCATATCATACAAATAATCTGTGTATTTGTTGTCAATAACTTATTTGCATCACAAATTGTATCGGATTGGTTCGCTACACCATAAAATATAGTGACCGAACCTTTATTCACACCAAAAGTAATACCACTTTTTAGTTTTAAATCTTTTATACACACTCGTCGTTTTCGTCTTAGTTGTTGTCGTACTCTCTCTCCATCTATTGTTAATCTTTGTTCCTGTAGTGCCTCCAAAGATTTGGAGACATTGAAGAAAGAAGACGCAACCAGCCGACAACTACAACGACAAACATAATAGAACCCTGTCGCCGCTCCTAGTTATTGCAATTACTACTCTGTCTATTATTTATTATTCTTGCGAAAATAAGGAGAGCTGCACATAAATAATTAATTTTTCCATTCTTTTTTACCCTTGTTGAAAAATCTGGCCCTACTTTTCTGGGGAAGGACGAACGACACTACCTCAATAAAACAACCAAAAAATAGAATAGATAGAATATATACATATATATTAACAAATATAAAATAATACAAAATGTCAGTCGAACTCGATCCATCAACTCAGCTCTCATTTACCCGTATGTATTAAATCCTTGAATAGTATTATGTTCCCTTGTCAAGTAGGAAGAGGATTCAAGCTGTTTATATTTTTTGATAATTTAATCCGATACGTGATTTACTAATATTATATAATAAATAGGTCCCTTCACACAACTCGTTAAAGAGTTATTGACGGTCAGTAATCCTAATCATGAACCAGTGGCATTCAAGGTCAAGACCACAGCACCTAAACAATACTGTGTGAGACCGAATTCTGGTAGAATTGAAGCTGGCCAAAGTGTATCTGTTCAAGGTATTAATCATAATAATTATACAAGAAATTGATGATAATGGAAAATCATTGGATGGGAAATATGATCTTTATTATTATTACAATAAATAGTAATCCTGCAACCAATGAAAGAAGATCCTCCGCTAGATTTTAAATGCAAGGATAAATTTTTGGTTCAGAGTGTTGCCATCACACCGGATCGAGAGACATTAAATTTACCGGAACTGGTAAGCAACTTTTTTCTTGATGCTTATAGATGAATAACATGACAATTAATCGCCAATTCATAATAATTATTGATATATTTTAAAGTGGGCAATAACCGAAAAGCAATCAAAAGAATTGATTAAAGAGAATAAAATACGCTGTATTTATCTTCCTGCCCCTGGAACAGTACAAGCAATTAATCCCAATAATCAACAGACCACATCTGTTAATTCAACACCTGCACAACAACAGCAGCAGCAACAACAAGATTTGCAGAACCAAACATTTGTTCAAGCTGAACAGACGAGGGTAAGCCGATTTTTATTGTTCATTATTTATAAATCTATATTATATATTAATACATATATAATAAATAATATCAGGCCGCATCTCCTGTTGAACAACAAACATATTCCGCTTATCCCACAATAAGTGAAAAAACAGCGGCGGCCACTGCATCCTATGATGCCCAACCAATCTCAGCGGTTAAACATGTTGAACATCGACCAGCACCAGTTAACGTGACCAATGGATATGGTGGACATAATAATAACAACAATGTTCCTTCGACACCTTCTATAATTGGTACCTTCCCGCAGGACTTAAAAGAACAAAGTATTCGACCAATAAAATCCTACACTAATAATAGTAATGACGCTTCAGATGACGAGACAGCCCGACTAAGACGTCAACTGTACGAATCACAAGAAGAGGTTAAAAGGCTTAATCACATAATCGATACCTATAAACAGGATTTGAATGCCGCGCAATTGAGACAACGCAAAAGTGAGGAAATTGCCGAGAAAGCTACCCGGAACATCTCGTCGGCGAGTGTTGGTTATCCAGCAATCAGAACTCAAGAGAGGATTCCGGAAGGGTATTATCCTTTTGAAGTGGTGATCGGCGCAGCCATCGGTGCTTTTTTGTTTGGTGTAATGTTCTTTTAGAAGTGTGTTCTTGGCTATAGGTTTGTTGCTTCTAGTAATATTACTGGTATATACAGTTGCACACACCCTTTAGTTATGATATGCTACTATTATTTTGTTGTTTTCCTTTTCTTTTATGGCAATCTACAATTCTATTTTCTTATCAATTGCATCAAGATTATTACTTTCTTCTTGCTGATAGGAATAAGAATAATCATTAATTTACACACTTACTAGGATAATCTGTACCTCTTAATAATAACATCATAATCATTACTATTATTACTATTGTTATTTTTTGCTTTTAAAAAACGAACGAACATTGGATCTTTTGAGTCCATCTTTTTATTGAATGCTCATCTTTTCTTTTCTAATTAATAATTATTACTTTCTGCTATCTCTTATTCAGGCTACTATCTAGCTTTTATTTTATACATGCAGTAATATTAATTTATCTGCACAAAATTATTCTTTAGTTTATTTACTAACATACATACATTCACACATACATACATTACTTACTTTACATACATATATATATACACACATTAGATACACCGAGGTGTTATTGGATGTGTATCGTTTAGTTTTCGAATTTTATATAGTTATTTAGTTAGAGTTTTACACAAAAAATTCATTTTTATGTGTTGATTTTTCTGTATAACAGTAATTTTTTCCTTTATGTATCGAAGGCGACGATTCGATTGTTGTTAACGGGCTCGATTTTTTTATACATCGATATATAGTATATATTTAAATACTCGTACATTTAGAAGAATGTAACCATACCACATGCGCGTATATAAATATTTTTTTTACCTAATCTGACAGTCAAAATTTATTGCTTGCCATTCTTGGTTAGATTATGATTGTGTATTTATTTACTGGGTGTCATAACAAATGATCGGGATCTCTACTTGCTTTACTCCGATTGCTATTTTTTTTACTCGTTGCTCTGAGCAAATTTTTGGAAGGAAATGCTTTTTAAAAATGAAAGAGAAATCTGAGATTTCAAAGTTTACTTATATAAGAATAAATATTTTTTTTATTAATAGTATAGAGTTAAGTAATGAATTATAAATTTCTTGAGTTATAAAACTTATAATATTTACTATTTATTATTTTTTATTTATTGTAATTATGAAAGGCGCACTCAAACCTCAGATATAATAATAATTAACCTAAATTCATTTAATTTAAAAACGTCCTTTTTATATAATGAATTGATAAGATGATGCGTCATTGGTTTTTACACATGCACAGGAAGAGAAGACTTAATTATACACGTCTACTAGAAAACTATTTCTGTTAATCTTGTTAAAGCTTTTGATTCCAATACAAATTTTCCTTCAACATATAATCAGCCACCGAAGCAGGGCAATGTTCATACAGTAATCCCTTAATCTTCACACCAGCATCATCAATTTGATTTTCCTCCTCTTGTTTCCAGCCATTTAACAATCTACGAACACGCGTAGACGACAAAGCCGCCACACTTTCTTCTGATTCGACTCGCCAGATTTTATGACGAAAACATTGGACAGCTTCATTGGTTTTAAAAAATTGTTGAATCTCTTGCGGCTCAAATCCAGCACGATTAGCATAAATCACGTAATTTGTAGCGAAAAATAACGACAATTCTTTATGCATGTCGGTATAATAACGAGGGTCGAATAGACGAATTAATGTATCGTAGCCCATTATAAAGTAAAGTGTCAAAGGGGGAGAAGAATGAGATGAAGATGGTGGTGGTTGATTACGTGAGGATAATGAGTGAGATATGGCATCGGGTTTGTCAATGAATCGTGAGCTGGATGTTATTCCAACTGCAATGTTTTGTAGGGTGTGAGCAATAGCTGGAGAAACTGCCTCTTTTGAATATTTATCATGAATTTCGTATGCTAAAGATTCCATCATCAATATTCGATCAACTTGACTCGCGTCTCCAGGACCAAATGTTTTGTCAGCGTTTTCAATTGAATAAAGTAACAAACAAGCATCAAATAAAAATGGAAAATCGTTGTTATTAGCACTACTACTACCACTGCCACTACTAGAAGTTAATTCATTATCCAGGTGTAAATTACGTGTATTCACTGATTTCAAAAGTAATTGAAGATGAGCTTTTGTAGGAGGATTAAACGACGAGTCTAAAACTGCTATTCGCAACGTTTTGGTTGCCCCTGTCGTCGTAAGTGGTGAAGGTGGCGGTTGTGTCAACATGAAGGTTTCGGTGAATGCGAGTGTGGTTTGGAAGGTGGGAGAAAGCGGTTGATTCTGAGAAGAGACACGTAACTCTTCGACTATTTCTTTAATGGCATATTGACGACGTATAGCATACTTTGCAGACATTTTCGAGTACATTTTTTGAAATTTTCGGAATGCAAGGTGTATAGACAGGTTGGAAATGACATCAAATGATGAAATTATGGTCAAAATGGGATTTGGTAGACGTGTAATGACGTAATATTTCATTATTTTCTGCATGGATTAAACATATATTGCATAATTATATAAAGTTATTATATGACGATAGAAAAAGTAATTATCTTTAAATAATTTTAATAAATAATTCTTATATTATATAATTACAAAAATTTCTCAAAAAGCTAAAATACAAAATAACAATAAAAATGCAACAATATCAAATTTTAGCAGATTAAATTTAAAAATCCAGTAAAATATATGTTAAAATATAAATTGTGATCTTTATTTGATATAAAAATGAATGCTTTATGTAAGAACAAATTTCAATTTTGTAATAAACTCACATTCATTTATTTCATAGTTTTGTTAGTTACTGTATATAATACATATCTCTATAATAAATTATTGAAAATCCAAAAAAAGCATAATAAAATATAGTAAAATTGAAATTTCTCTAATAAAAATTTTTATTTTTATAGATTTTTTAAATTTAATTTTATATAACATTTTCTAATTGCATATAAAGTCAATATTTTTTTGTATAAAATAGAGAATATTATATAAATTAAATCTAAAAAAGCTGAAAAAATATATGTTAAAATATGTAATATTATCTTTATTTTGATATAAAAATAAAAAATATTTATTAGTAAAATTAAAAACATTATATAAAAATAAAAATCTGTATTTTTCATATTTTTATTATGTTTATTAATAATTTTTTTGCAGTTATATTTTTTTGATTGTTATACTTAGTGAACAAAAGTTTGTAATCAGGAATTAATTTTATTAATATAATATAATAAAAATTGAAATTTTCTCTTTATATTAAGTTTATAATTTATTAAGAAATAATTTTTGTTTTTATATTAAAATAAAGTTTCTAAGTTATAATTTAATATATATTTTGATTTAATCTGCTAAGGCTATTCTAATTATACATAAAGTCAATTATTTTTTTATATGTTATAATTATAAAAAAATAATTGATTTTATATATAATTAAAATAGCTTTATCAGATTAAATCTAAAAAATCTGAAAAAAATATATGTTAAAATATGTGATATTATCTTCATTTTATATAAAATAAAAAATATTTAAAATTGAAAACTTTTATATAAAAAGAAAAACCTGTATTTTACTATATTTAATTAATAAATTTTGACATTGTTGCATTATTTTTGATTGTCACTGTAATACAATTTGATATAATTGATTAAATATATAAAATTCATATAATATAAATTTGTATAATTAGTATTATTATTTAAAAATGATTTGCAAGCTTAATTAAACAAATTAATTATGTGATGTTTTGATTTTAAAACAAATATTGCAAAGAATTTTTATTTTTAATTTTAATATATTTACATATATTGCATTTTGACAAGAATTCTTTGATAAAACAAAATTATTAATTTCATCAAATTTCAAATCACTTCTAACTCGAAATTTTGTCTACAAATTTATCTTTAACGTCTCAACAAATGTTTAATGGAGTCCATGATAGATAGTCATGTGATCAGAAACCGGGCACAGATTCAATTTTTGCTTTTGCAGTTGCTGTATATATTATATATTGTGAATAATTATATAACTCTTTATATTACAAAATAAATAATTAATATTATATATAATATCAAAAGTGACCAGGGCTTTGCACACTTTACACAAGTCTATCTCGATTATTCTTCGATTGATATTCAATCAAATTATAGGAGTCGAGGCAAAGGGTCTTCTAGGAGTTCGTTCTTTTTCTTTATCAGGTGAAGCCTATATAAATTAAATAAATGTCAAAAATTTGTCATTAAGTAGATCTTTTTAATCTTCATCGTAACTTATTAGATAATTAATCTTACCGGAGGAATTAAATACGTCTTTTTCAATTTTTCCAGTTCCTCTAGTTTGAATAACAATAATTATTATTTGTGTAATATAACAGAAAAGAATGATGTTCTCTGTCTTCCACGTGATTTGTATGTAATATACATACCAAAATCTTCTGTATCCAGTTTTGCGAAGCGAATAGGGTTCGCGTCTTCCTTGACCTCTGAGTGATCTTCATATAGTTTTGTTCCGGAAATTGACAAATCTGCGCACTGCTTCGCCATTTTAGCAAAAGTGTGAATTTCATCACGATACCTATTAAATTAAAAGAATATCACAAAAATTTAATCAATAAAGAAATAGCACCTCAAAAAACGCCTCTCGCGCACTTCTCAAATACATACGTAGTGTAAGCTTTCTTATTCAGACAGTATTTCTCATTCAGATTGTCTAATACCAATTTTTTGAACGACCTTTTAATATAGTGAAGAATATGGAAAATGTAATATTTATGTGGTGTCCAGTCTTTGAACTCATGAGCAAGGGAGAAGTTGCCGGTATTGGGATCTATGAGTGGGTGAAAAAGTTCACTGTCACTGAACGAGACAGATGGTCTTTTCTCTGGGTATGTAAATAATGATGTATCGAGTCAAAGAATTGTAGATTTGAGAGAAAGATTATTTTAATGCAATTAGACAATATAAAAGGATATTCATTAGGAATCTGAATACGAAATTTGAATACGCCTTTCTTGTAATATCCTTTATGAACAAAAATCACGCCAAACCACTCTATTAATAAGAGAAAAAATGAGTTAATGAAGATCAATAATGATTCCGTTTTTATAATAACAAAATTCTTTGCACTGTATGTTAAGCACTCGACTTACTATGAAAATTATCAGCTGCAGGCATTACGTAAACACCACTTGGACAATGTTTAGGATTACGCAGATTTGCACTATAGATATCAAAAAATTATTAAATTATGAGTTTCGCGTTTTCGAACCAAAGTAATAAGGTATCCTCCTCCGCAAACACACATACAACTCAATCATCAACTCCATTCTTCGAAAGCATTCCGAGTTAAACTGCGGTTTGGGCTGCTTATCAACTTCAGAGTCACGTTCTGACACATCTTCCTCCAAGTGAGAAACACTACCACGATTGTTTTTACTATGACGAAGAAACGAAGTAGTGCTTTGAGCTTGGGGAACAGAACTAGTGTTTCTTTGAAACATCTTTTAGAAAAATCAAAAGTGATGATGATGCTTCATTAAATAAAGTGCACATTTAAAGTGTGTACCATATTAGGGGAACGACCTCGCCGAAAATCCGATCCTTGAAGATCTGTACTACCGATCGTCATTTTAGACCGATCAAGATTGTATCGTAGGACCCCAAATTTAATAGTAACGGGGACCAAAAATATAACCTTAAACTTTTTTGGGTCCATAACCCTAACCCTACCCTCTTAGTAAATGGGACATATCTATCGCATATGCGATAAATTATAGTTCTCAATTTCTCTTATTCAATCTGTCAAATTTACACTTCTCATAGTTCAACGTGTGTGACTAAATAGTTGATTCTCCAAACTTTTTTTATGAGAACTGGGCTATTCGATTCTAATACAGACACATCTAAATCTTTAAACCACAATAAATAATATTTTTTCTATTTTGATGAATATATCCGAGAGGGAGACAGAAATGAATATAAAATAAGTATGAAAACAGCGAAAAATGAATCTAAAAACATAATCATGCTGTGCAATAATCCTTTGTAGATGTACAATGGCTGTCACAGTCAGAGCTCTATATACCGATTCCTCTTTATGACGATATATTGAAAATATCGCTTTAAAAAGGGGTTTTAGAGTACTTATTACAGTTACACAACATAAAAATACCTCGCTATCTCGTTATACCGATATTTTTCTGTATCCAAGTGGACTTTATATACACAACCCTACAATATATTACCGGAAATTTCAAAAATGAATTTATCACTTTGGAACCTGATATCTCGACATCCGGTGATCCCATTCGAACAAAGATACCCACCATTAGATTCGTATAGTCGAGACGAATCCAATGGTGGGTATCTTTGTTCGAATGGGATCACCAGATGTCGAGATATCGGGTTCCAAAGTGACAAGTTCATTTTTGAAACTTCCGGTGATATATCGTAGGGCTGTAAAGTTTAAAATAACAATTATATTTAATGATTTTTATAATTTCTATAATTTTTATAATTTCTATAATTTTTATAATTTCTATAATCTTTTTATAATTTTTATATATAAATCAATTAGATAAATTTTAATGTTATTATTTTTATAATTTTTAATTTATTATATTTATTAGTGAAAAATATTTATGAAAATTATGAAAATTATAAAAATTATAGAAATTTCTAATCATAACAATGTTATTTTAACAATTAGATAATTGTTGATGAGAGATATAGATATAGATATAAATATAATTATAACTAGATGAATTAGAATTAATATCTGCTATAACTTTAATAAATTTGTTATCATAGTTAAAAGTAAGAGTATTATTTCTTTAATCTAGCATAAAATAATCATGATATTTCAAGTATCAAGTCATAGTATTGTAGATTAAGAACTTAAGCATTAATTCTAGAAGTTTTATAAGTGCTTAATTTCAAGTTTTGAATATTAACTGTAATTGTTGTAATTTTTTTGCTATCAGCCAATTCTACTGTGATTAGTTATATTTTTTTAGCTTTGATGTGATTCTTTTGAACAAACTTTTCATCAATAAAATTTCTTGATACATTACTATTTAACAAGATCCAAGCATCTTTTTTATTAACTTGATCATTAAATTTTAATAATCTTTCTTTATTATCAGTAATATAAGTGAATTCTACTTTTTTATTTTGTTATTTTGTAAAAGCTTCTGCAATTTTTTTAATATTATTCATTCTTGTCTTGTTTTGAATAGCAATTCTGAGCAAAGTAATCTGATTTATCATATTTATAACAGTTACCTTTGATTTTATTATTATTAGAATTAAAGTTTTTCTTGAACTGTTCAGTATAATCTAATTCTATAAGTATAATTATAGTTATTTGATATATTATAACTGAATTGTAAAGTTCTTTTGAATAATATTTTGTAAGATAAATAATTTATCAGTATTAAATATAACTATATTATATTTAATAACCAATTTTTATGCATTTTTCAAATTTTTGGTGCTTGATGACTCACTTTCATTTTTATTACTGGTTTTAATTTATTAATAAAGTAAGTGACTTGATCTAGATTATCCATATCTTTAATTTGTTCAACAAGATTTCTAAACTTGATATCATATTCTTGAACTATACCAGTTTGACAAAGTTATTTAAATTATCTTCTCAAATACTATTAATAATTTAGTAATTGAAAAATATTATATAATTCTTGAGCAAAAGTATCAAAGTTAGCAAAAATGAAATTAGTGTTATTAATATTGTTATGAGTTCTGAAGTTTAAATATATATTCTTGTAATATAGATATTCAATTAATATCTGCTACAATTTTTTGATTAATCTATTAACTTTGATCCAGTTATATTAGAATTAGTGTGTGATATAACTTCTTTTATTTTATTAAGATAAAATAGAATATCATTGCTACTAATAAATATTTTCTTTTTATATTACTTAATATATAGATGGTCCTATAGCAATATAGTACTAATATTTTATAGCAATTTGGTTAAATATTTAGTAGTGCATAATAAAGATAAGTATTATAATAATATTAATTATAAAATTAATTAATATACAATTACATTAAATAATAAATAAGAAGCAATTTATTAATTAGCTAACTTTTGTATTGATTAATTAATATCTTTTTCAAGATCTCAATATTGCTTTATTTATAATAAATATTTTTCACTAATAAATTATATAAAAATAATAATATTAAAAATTTATCTAATTGATTTATATATAAAAATTATAAAGAATATAGAGTTTATAATATTTTTAAAGTTTTTAGAGTTTTAAAAAATTATATATAAAAATTATAAAAATTATAACAACATTATTTCAATAATTAAATAATTATTGATGAGAAATATAGATAGAATTATAACTAGATGAATTAGAATTAATATCTGCTATAACTTTAATAAATTTGTTATTATAGTTAAAAGTTAGAATATTATTTTTTCAATTTATAATTGGATTAGCATGAAATAATCATAATTTTTCAAGTATCAAGTCATAGTATTATAGATTGAGAACTTGAGCATTAATTTTAAAAGTTTTATAAGTACTTAATTTCAAGTTTTGAATATTAATTGTAGTTATTTTGTCATTAGCAAATTCTATTATGATTAGTTATATCTTCTTAGCTTTGATATAATTTTTTTGAACAAATTTTTCTTTAATAAAATTTTTTAATATACATTATTTAACAAGATTCAAGCATCTTTTTTATTAATTTAATTATTAAATTTTAATAATTTTTCTTTATTATCAATAATATAAGCAAATTTTACCCTTTTATTTTGTTGTTATATAGAAAATTCTGCAATTTCTTCAATATTATTCATTTTTGCTTTGTCTTTTGAGTAGCAATTCTTAGCAAAGTGATCTAATTTATCATATTTATAAAAGTTACCTTTAATTTTATTATTATTGGAATTAAAATTTTTCTTGAATTATTTATTATAATTCAATTTTATGGATATAATTGTAAAATTATATAATATATTACAATTGAATTCTTTTTAAAAATACTTTATAAGGTGAGTTATTGTTGAGTGATTTATTAGTATCAAATATAACTATATTATATCTAATAGATAATTTTTATACATCTTTCAAATTTTTTGGTGCTTGATAACTCATTTCTATTTTTGTTGCTGGTTTTAATTCATCAATAAAATAAATAACTTAATTTAGATCATCCATATCTTTTATTTGTTCAATAAGATTTCTAAATTTGATATTATATTCTTGAACTATACTAGTTTGATGAAGTTATTTAAGTTATTTTTTCAAATATTATTAATAATTTGATAATTAAAAAGTATTGCATAATTTTTGAGCAAAAGTATCAAAATTAACAAAGATTAATATTTATCTTTAACTTGTTAAGATATTAGTAGAAGATTACATTTTCAAGTCTAGTTGATACATAATTTATTTTTGCTTTATTATTAGTGATATTTTGAGTAGCAAAGATATTTTTAATTTTTAATAACTATATCAAATTATTCTTATTTGGTTTATTTTTATAAATTGAAATTTTTACTGGAATTTTTGGGTTATTATTTTCATTATTATTATTTATAATAGGTACTTAATCAGTACTATCATTTTTATCTTGTTGTTATTGTAATTGTTGAAGTTATTAATTTTGTATTTTCAGTTAGTTTTGATGAAATTGAATAATATCAATAAGAATTTGTTATTGTTTTAACAAAGAGACAAATTCATTTATAAATTGTTGAAATTATTATTAATTTATTATAATATATATGTTGATAAGTATAAAGTATAAGTATTTAAAATATGTATAAAGTATATATGTAAAGTATATATGTAAAGTGTGTATTATAGCTTTAATAATTTTTATTTATTATTATTAAGTTATAAGAATACTTTTTTATATGAATAATATTAAGATAAATTTATTAATTATTATAAATAAATTATATTAATTAAAATAGTTTTTAGTTTTAATTTTAATAAAGCTTATTTTTTATTTATTAAATAGTGAAAAGATTTATATTAATTTCTTATATATTATACAAAAAATAATAAATATAATACAAGAAATAATAAATATAATACAAGAAAATACAAGAATATATAAAAATTATTATACTAATTTTATTATAAATATTGTTACTATTTCTGTTGGTTTTATTATCTTTTAAGTATAGATTATATGTTCTTTATATATTTTAATTAAGTGAAAGAGTTATTAAAGATTTTTATGTATTGTTACCATGTGATAAATTTAGTACCTGATATAAAATATATTATATTATTTATAATATATTTCTATTGAATAGTTGGTAAATATATGATTTACAAATTATGATTCTTTTTAGTTCATACTAATTCTTTAGATTTCATACTATTTTATTTTAATTTTATTATATTTTATACTATTTTATCTTATATTTTTTATATTTTATACTATTATATTTTATATCATTTATATTTCATATTATTCATTTTTAATTCATATTATTTGTTTTTAATTTATATTATTTTCATATTAATATTATTAGTATGAAAAATACATATTATTGATCTTTGAGAACCAAATTAGCTTAATAGTAATTTATAGTAAATTAATTACACTCAAGCAAAAGGTGTG